GGATACGCACCAGAATTATTCACTGACCGATATGTAATGTATGAAGATTGAAAGCGCCGGCGGATGGGAAGAAGATGTACGGCGGCACGTCGAGTTCGACGGCAGTTCGAACCAGCCACTGGGCGAAACGACGGCGAAAATCGTCGCCAGCTTCCTTCCGCCATCTAACTATTTTTTCGTGGCGGGACCGAGGACAGAGAGAGATTGACGATGATAGAGATGCGCGGCTCGACATTGAACTTTGCCATGATATCACGAAGCTCGCCGGCGGGCGGCGGCGTCAGATGGCAGTAGGTGGCGGCAGTGTGGGCATAGACGGAGATATTCCAGTTGCAGATGTTGTATATGAGAGAGAAAAGAGGTTTAAATTGAGGTGGTGGTGGTGGGGCCCACGTCTGGTAGGTGAATTGGTGTGTGAGGGTGTAATTACCGTATTGCCCTTATTTGACCATGAATTGCACAACTATTTACTAAATTGCCACAGCAGGTTTGACTTCATATTTAAAATTTTAACTTAATCATGTTCATTGATATGTTAGATCTAATGGTATAAATTTATTCCTATTTTTCTCACTATCTACCATTCTCATATGATCCCATCTATATATATATATATAGGGTCGCGCTCTAGTGAGAATGATACTCAATGAAAGAAACGAGAATAAATCTCAACCACAAGATCTCATCATCTAATGGTAAAAAAATAGATCAGCTTTTCTACAACAGTAAGGGTATAATAGACATTTAATAACACACCAAATTTCCAGTGGACCCCACCACTCTTCAATTAAATCGTTCCTTCACCCTCCCCAGCGATCCAGCTCTCTCTCTCTCTCTCTTTCATATACACACACACAACGGTGACACACACGACTCGGTCAGATCTCGACCGCCACCGGCCACTCTACAGAGCGCCGCCGCAGCACGGCGCTGTTTGCTGCTCGCCGCTGGCAGATGCCCGAGAACGCCAGTCGCCGCCTTTTATTTGCATCCGCCGATCCCGCCTCTTCATTCCGACGGCGAGAAGGTCGTATCTTCCAGTGACGCCAACCGGAATATCTTGCAGATGCATGCCCTCTCTGCCCACCATCTTCGTCGTCCCAGTTCCAGACAATGGCCGCCGACCTAGAGACCCGAGCACACTTACCGAAAACCGTCGAATAAAGAACGTTCCGCAAACCTACTGTTCTCAGCCGCCGTTGCCGTCGCCGCAATGTATACGCCCGCTGCCGCTGCCGTTGTTGCCCTGTACACACTCGCCGGCTCTCTGCACACGACCATCGCTGCCTTTGTTAGACGATCTGTAACCGTTGACACATCTCGACGATCGCAAAATTAGGGTTCCAAACGAGTACCTCGCCGCCCCCACTCGATTGCAGATTGGCGAATTCATCTGAATTCTGAGGATATGTGCACAGGACTGTAATTTTTGGTCTGTGGGCTTTATTTTTCAAATAAGATACTTTGCAGGGCCTATTTGCAAATTTTGGATGTTTGTTTAATTTACAATTGGGATTAATATGTAATTTATAAAATCATTAACAAATATACATTATTACCAAAGAAAATGCACATCAAATAATTGTGGTGTATTTTAAAAAATTCTTGTGTTGGAGAATATACATTAGTATTTTCAACCAACAAAACTAAAAATATCTAACATTTAAAAATTAAAATTTCTTATATTTATCTGTTTTTACTTTTATTTTTTCATTACGCTTTCATCTATGTTTTTTAAAATTCATAACAAATTAATTATATAGGTTCGATTTTAGCTATAATTTTTAAATAAAGAAAATATCCAAACCAATTGAATTATATATAAAATAATTGTTTTATATCATTTATTGCGTTTTTTCAGCCAAAAATAGAACAACCAATTAAAATAAAAAAATAATAATAAACATATTTTTATAATATAAATAATAATGACCTTTTTATTATTTTGTTAACTCGGTGAATCGACCAAATAAATCGATTATTTTAATTCAATTTTAGTTTGAATTTGGAAAAAAAATTAAAAAAAAAATCACACACTACATAATGCACAATATTAGAAAAAAAGTTGCATGTTAAAAGCAGCTAGAATGCACAATAATTTTAGAACAAGTGCACATTAATGAGTTCGAGAGTGCACGTTTACATAACATTGTGCATTATCAATGACATTAATAATTTTATTGTTTCGGTCCGGTCTCAATTTTCTTTTTAGTTTTTAAATGAAATAACAGAACCGACCAAACTATATAAAAAAATATTATTTTATAAATTACATATATATATTATTTAATTTCAACAAGCAATAACATAAAATATTAAAATAAAATTATAATTACTAGATAATTCTGATTGAAATACTCATTATTATTATATAAATAATATGATAAATACAAAATAATGTTAATTGAAATACACAATATTAACGGTTTCTAAATGTGAAAATGCAGATGAAAATAATCGCTCAATATACTGCACAATAATGCTACCACGAATGCACAATAGTGTTTGACAGATTGCACGTCAGTGAGTGCCAAATTGAACACCATCGAACCGACATAAAGTTTCAAAGCAAATTATATTTTTATATGTGGAAATGCACAATATTATTACACTAGTTGCACATAATTGACTACCAGATTGCACAATATCGGCCAAAATTGAGCAAACAAAAAAAATTGATTCGAAATAAATTTACAAACCGGTTGAACAAACCAATTAATAATTATGTATTCTTGTGAAAATAAAATGAAATTTATAATGTGCTTGAAAATATGCAATATTGTGCTTCTCACGTATTATTAATGTGCAATAAACTGAACTTTTGACAAATTGTAAAACAGTCCCACAATTAAAATGCAACATATTAAATTCTAAAATTACACCAAAACCTTCCTAATATGTTAATTTTCAGCATGTCCTCACAAAAAAAAAGCAAAAAAAAAAGTAAAAAGAAAAATAAATAAAAAAATCACAACACTATAGTATACACACAGTACACACTAAAATTGAACCAAATCTCCCCTAATAATTGTGCGAAATAGAGAGAGAGAGAGAGGAACCCAGGAGAGAGAATGAGTGGGGAGAGAGAGTAAAGATAATGAGGGGAGAGAGAGAGAGTAAAAAGAATCAGGCGGTAAGTGAGTGCGTGGGCCCGCGCTGTCTGTGAGCTGTCAGTCTGGTGTTTTACCACATTGCCCTTCTATCTACATGTATGCCATCAATATTTACCAGTAATTACAATTATGCCACCGCGAATTCAAAATCTGTTGAATCCATCTCCAGCGTTCAAACGCGAAATCGTTTGTTGTAAATTCATTCTCATTTCTTTCATTATGCTTCTTTTTTATTTGAGCGCACTTCTATATATATATATATATATATATATATATATAAAGAGCCAACCTATTTATAAAAATAGTAAGAAGAAAAGTCAACTAGTATTTATTACATTCTATTTTGGTAGTTTTTTAATACTATTTTTAAACTAGTACAACACCCGTGTGATATACAGGTGATTAAAAGAAATTATGATTCATATAAGGTAGAACTACAATAATTTATATAATAATATAAAAAATTAAGATAAAAATAAATAATGAAATAAAAACAAAAATTGTAATATTATTTCAAATTTTGAAAAATTTCTCGGTATACAACGTTATTAGTTCGATTTGCAATATTCCCATTATTGTCGCAACAAAGAATTTTCAAAAGGGGAAATATCAATAGTTTAACCTTGGTGATTAAAAGAAAATATGTTTGAAAAACAATATCGATTTGCGTTTCCTTTTCTATAAAATTCAAAAGGAAAAATATCAATAGTTAATTGAAGTCAATGATATATTAGTCATTTATGTCTCACTATGTAAAATATCAATAGTTAATTGAAGTCAATGATATATTAGTCATTTATGCTTCACTATGTAAAATTATAAATAATTAAAGAGTTCTATTAATACAAGTAATATTAAAATGGCTAAGTTAGCTAAATAATTATGGAATGTCCGAACCTAGATTATTAATTATTAATATATCAATATTATTTGTCTAAACCTAATTACGAAGCATGATTCTTCGCCAAGTAGAATTCCGAAGCATCAGAAGCAGTCATGTAGGCTCAGCGCATTCGAGAATTATATATAGGGACAATTATTCCCCAAAAAAACGATCAACTATATATGCACCCTAAATTCATGAGTTTTGTGGATTTAATTTAGGTAAATTTCGAATGATGCTTACAATTTTACAAAAGTCACTACATGCGTTTTACGTTCTTCTAATAATCCAATCATTTAAATCTAAATACTTTACCTTAATAAAACTAGCCATGATGCGACCGCACTAGTATAAATTAGACAGGCGAGTCATTTTCTCACTTCTACAGCCCAATCTTTAATTATAAGGAGCCGGCCCATATTGTCAAATTCTTAATTGTGCTGATCCAGCCCACTCTAATGGCCCTTTAGCAAATGAACTATTTTTTTTCTGTTCGTTATTTTTTTAATTCCCCGATCAACTTTTGCTTTAGGTTTACGTTCTGTTTGTTTTTCTCCAAAATCTCATATTTCCCCTTTGTTGTCGGGTTCTTCTTCATCTTCTGTCACGTCACGGCCGATACGCCGGAAGGCTCCATCCAGTGGCTACTCGCCGCACCTGCAACTGCGAGAAATATAAGGTTTATACAATTATATTTTTAATTTGAATACATCTATCAATTCATGTTTGTCAATTAAGAACATGAGATTAGAATTTTTTCAAACGAAAACTATTTCATCCATGAAAAATTATAGTTTTTGGGCAACCTGTAAATCGTAATTTATTAATTAATTGATCTCTTACCTTGTAAAGGTTTGGCAAATTTCTCTTATTAGGGGTTGGGATCGATGAATATAATCAAGTCCCAATGAAGTATCTGTTTGATTTTTCTTTTCCCATCTCAATTGAATGAACCAAGTATGAATCTAATATGTAGTTTGGGATTGCAATTTACAAGGACAGCAATGGTCAATACCGGACGCGAAGAAAGGACCGGTAGCTCGAGTACAACTCTCACGATGAATCAAGTTGCTGTTGCTGAGAATGTTTCAGGTGAGGGTAGGATTTCTCAACCTGTGGTGGAAACCCCTGTGGATGGTCAGTTCGAAGATAATGTAGAAGTACCTGCCCAAGATATAGAGAATAAATGTCCCGAAGAATTTCCGGGCCAAGAAGAAACTGAAAAACCGACAGAGGAGGATAATAATGCTGAAAATATATTTGTGTCAGATATGAGTAATGAGAATAAGGCGGACTCGAATCAAAAAAATTCTGAAGATGACGAAACTGATGACCAAGAAGATCTAATGTGGGATGATGAGGAAGAACTTTCTGAAGAAGACAGGGAGGACAACTTTGGGGACGGGGTTGGAGCTAGTGCTGGAGATTCAGGGAAAGAAGAAGATGATGAGGAAGAGGATGAAGTTAGTGCAGACGAGGCAATTAAAGAAGAAGAAGAAGAAGAAGAAGAAGAAGAAGAAGAAGACGAAGAAGAAGAAGAAGAAGAAGAGGAGGAAGAAGAAGAAGAGGAGGAAGGAGGAGGAGAAGAAGAAGAGGAAGAAGACGAGTATAGAGTTGGTAGCTATGAGGCACCGGAAGTTGCAGAAGGCGGTGAAATGGAAGCTAATACCGAGGCAGATAAAACGGAAGCTAATACCGAGGCTGATAAAACTGAAGCTAATGCTGAGGCAGATAAAACGGAAGCTAATGCCGAGGCAGATAAAACGGAAACTAAAGCCGAGGCAGATAAATCGGAAGCCAAAAAAATTGGCAATCGAAGGGAAGTTAAAGCAAAAGATGGTAAAAGGAAAGCTAAAGCAATAGAAGATGAAACGAAATCTACAGCTAAACGCAAGGAAAGGGAAGCTAAAGCAAGAGAAAATGGAAAGGAAGCTAATGATAATAGGAGCGACAAACTGGCAGCAAATTTGAAGGATGGTAAGGAATCAAACGGAAGAAGCAAAAAGAAGGTGCAATCAGTGATGTCCAAGAAAGTGGACCCTAAAGATAAAGCAGAATCTTCACAGAAGAGAAAGGGGAAGAAGAGAGTCGAGAGCATGGGGATGATTTTTATGTGCAGCTCCAAGACAAAGAATGACTGCTACCGATACAGGGTTCTTGGGCTGCCAGAAAGCAAGAAAGATATTGTAGAAAAGATTTATACCGGGATGCGATTGTTTTTATATGATGTCGATCGAAAGTTGTTGTATGGAATCTATAAAGCTGCGGGACCTGGAGGCTACAACATTGAACCCAAGGCCTTCAAATCACAGTTTCCAGCTCAGGTTAGTGACATGTTAAACCTATCTTTGGAAATGAGCGTCAATTCGTGATTGTTACCTGACACTGGGTTATATACAAAAGTCCTGATGCAGTTTTAATTTTCAGATTGTGCGAAGTTCAGTCATAAAATCCTCTTCTGTTACAGGACTAAGCTTGTTGCGACGAGTTTCATCATTAGTGTAATAGTGGTGCAATAAGTGGAACTATTTAAAAATGGCCTTTAGATCATAGGTTACATTTTGTTGTTAGATGGCAACTTATAACATATACTTATGTCTTACATGTGTTGTTCTTTTCCTTGTACGCTCTTATGTGCTATGGGAAACAGTAAATATCAGGAGCTATAACTTTGAAGTATTGCATTTTTCAAGGGAAGTCTGGTATAGCATTTATTTTGATAACAATTATACGAAAGCTGTATAAATTAATCCAGGCTGTCTGAGACTTTTATTTGTTGTGATCCAAGTAATGTGATTTTCTTGGTAGCAGTTCAGTATTTTGCCTGTTCTGTGAAGAGTAATGTCCAGTAATCATTGTATCTAACATTTAAAGTCTTAATCTATGGGAAATTGCCAATTTGTTTGTGTAAATATTATCATTTTGTGGAGTCGCTGTCATCCCATCCATGACTAATATTATCATATATTGCTAAAGTACTTACAAGGATGCTTTTTTAACGGTCATTTTCCTTCAGAATGATGGTATGAGCCCTTTTTGACCCATGTTTCACATTTAAGTCCCAGCTGCAATCTTCTTCTATTGGATCATAGAACATTTTTCATGTAGCACAACCTTGACAAAAACTGTTTATGGTGCTATTTTTGCACCATGAACAATATGAACCACTGAATACTCCTGTTTTCCTTTTAGTCATTCTAAAAAAAAATTGTCATGTTTGTCCATTATCTGTCAATTCTCTATTAGTTCTAGGAATAATAAATTTGACTTCAGATTTCACAGTTCGTTTACTGGTCACAGAATGTCATCCTTGTTTGTGATGTTTAGCTACATCTATTTAGAAGTTCTTGTAAGCTTCTGCAATTTATCAGAAGTTTTTGAAGCTATATGATGCTTTCTTATTATATAAACAAGCTATTGGTTGCTGAAAAAAAATGCTATTGAGGCTATAAAGTTGATATAGGAATCAGTGTTATCAAATGGCGGTATGTCGTGTCCGATTTCTGGCGAACCACCATGCTGAATTTGTGAAGGATGATGGTTATGGCGGCACCACTGACTGCTCCAGTGGTTGCTATGGCTAGATTTTGGCCTACGGCCATTTCCCGCCATCCACCATGGATAACACTGATACACATGCTTGTGTATTAATATTTTAGGATAGTTTTACTTTCTCATAAGATTGCAGGATCTTTGTTTTGTATTCTTATATGAAGTCTCCTGGTTATTTTATCAGGATATTTTGATCTCGAACGCCTTTTATCCTCTTCTCAAGTTGCTTATAAGCTTACCTAAATGCTACAAGAGTATGCTGGGATGAGTAAAAATAAAAACTTATATTAATGGATCCTTGAATCTTTTAATCAGTTTATGGATCAGATTAAGATAGTATTTTGCTGTTACCATTTCCGTTCTGATCAACAGATATTCTGTCATTAAGTACTGTTATTACATAATTTATCATCAAATCTCAAAGTCTTGTGTGGGGGAAGTGCTGGTTAGCTACTCAAGAAATTGTGTTCTATAGGAGCAGAACAAGTTTAAAGTTGTAATTGCTTGAGAAATACTAGTCCTATGACTGTAGCTGTTGGTTTTGACACTCATCTTCTGATGCCATCTCGGATATATGTAAGGTTGAGATATTTACTATTGTGAAAATGTGAAGCTTTATTAAAAAGTCTGACGAATTCAATGGACATGTAGGAACCCCTGCAAGGTAACTGATATTTTATTGATCCATACCATAATGATATTAGTTGAATCTATCAGACTGAGGCCCAACTTAAAGACATTGCAGTGATCAGTTTTTTTTTTTTGGGAAATTCTTGAGTAAATTATTTTACTTTAGCGAGTTGGAGAACTTTCTTTTTTCAGGTCTGAATCTGATTCATCTGCCCATGATTGCATCTACTGATGAAGTTTTGGCTACCTAGTCAATATCTGTATGTTAGTTATGTCTATGCTCTGCTCTGATATTTTATGTCCATCATTGAAGTCCCTTTTGGTTTGGTCTTGATAAAGTTTTTGTCGAACACTGATAGAAAAAGGTGTGTGAGCCTCTTAGGGTTAAAGTGAAGATTTTCAGCACGCATAGGGAAGAGAACTAACTAGATTCTTTTTATTTTGGTATGCTACATAATTCAATGGTTTTTATCTTGTGCAATTCTATTTCTTTCAGAACATCAGTGATGGGGTATCCTATTCTTTTATCCCCTTTTTCTCTGTTGTGATACTTTTGAATATTTGAGCACCCACTGATTATTGACCTTTTATGAAGAAATTGATAGAAGAAAGCCCACAGTTTAAAATACAGGAAGTAGGATATCTGGAATTGTATAGTGCAATTGAAAGATATTTGGATGCAAGATTAATGCAGACGGTTTGCATATCCTAACGATTTTCAACATACACCGGGACTAATCATTCTATTATTCTGGATATGTGAGGAGATAGTGAATAGTCCCTACTATGCTGTGAAAAAGTATTGTCTTTTATTTATTTCATATTTTAGAAATCAAACCAGTGTCTTCAAATAGCTGCCATGCAGCTTGCAATCGCGGCGTGGTGCGAATGGTGGAAAATTGTGGATTCCGCCCAGATTCAGCCCCCCCAAAAATAAAAAAGTATATGGCCTGGGGCTCAGTTTTGCCAAAATAAACCCATAACTGTAAACGATATGTGCCCGTGAAAGTTAAGAAAACCTTAATTGCTGCGAGAAAGAGAAAAGAGCAGCACACCCTCCTGCTGGCGACCCAACCTTCGGCGATCATTCACACTCTCTCTCTCACTCTCTCTCTCTCTCTCTCTCTCTCTCTCTCTCTCTCTCTCTCTCTCTCTCTCTCTCTTTCACATATTTTATTCCCTTTTTTACCTACATTTTTCCGTTCTTTTTGCCCTTTTTAGTTTCCAGATCGACTTTTAGCTGCCTTTGTTAAATAGAAAACAAACTCAGATTTTCTTTGTGGTCCTAATTTTTCCATCTTTTCGGTTCTTTATTTATTTGTTTTAATTTTCATCTTTCTTTTGTTAAAAAATAACTTTTTGGCTGCCCTTTATTTATTTGCTGCTTATTTGATTGCAGTATTTAGCACTACTAATATTATTTTTATGTATTTATTGACATGTTTGAAACTTTTAATATGATGTTATACATGCATATACATGTATACATATATATATACATATATATATACAACAACAACATACCCAGTATATTCCCAACGGTTGGGGTCTGGGAGGTCAGTTGTACGCAGACGTTACCCTTGTAATTATACAAGGAAGCTGTTTTCGTAGCGACCCAAGGTGCATTGCGTCGTTTGATATATTTTTTTTCTAGAAACTTCACTAATAGAAGAAGCACTAGAATTTAATTGAGCCATTTTGATCTAGTCTATTATTAGCACTATGCCAGGAGAATTGTCAACAATTCTAGCTCCATTTGCAATGGACAAAATATATACATATATATATAAATATATATATATATAATACGTGCCCTCCACCATATATATATATATATATATATATATATATATACATATTTTTATATATAGGATGTGGTTCAAATGAGAACAAAGTCTTAGCGTGAGAACTGCTATTTTTAGTTGTTCGTAGTACCATCATTAATTGTGTTTTAGTGCTATTTTTAACATGAATGTATTATATTAAAAATAGCAACACAATTTGTAGTAGCATTTGTGAAAATGATAGCAGCATATGATATTCAGAATAGCATCATATACAATTATAAATAGCATTAAATAAAGTACGCGCCCTCCACCATTTTCCTACACGCCATCTTCCATGTATATGACTATTTTTTGGCATGCCGCCATCATGTACTTACATCACTGTACCAAACTTTGTTGTTTCGATGTGCAATTATTGCTTTCCTCCAAAACTACCTGTTCTCGCTCTATTATCATGAAAATCTGAGTTTTCTCAGAACAAATTTGTGCGGTTTTTTGTTACCTTTGCATCTGAGAAATATGCTGGAAGCCGTCAACTTGGATGCTCCTTCTTTTAAGTTTTCATGGCAGATGATGGATTATTTCCAGATATTTTTTCCCAGATCTAGCAATAGCATCCATGTTACTGATTATACATTAGATGCTTGTAAACCTGATTCTGACTAGAAAACTTGATAATATCAAGATCATACCTATTAATATTGAAAATTTTTCAAAATTATCAGGTCCGGTTTACTGTTCTGGATGATTGCTTGCCGTTGCCTGAGGAGATGTTCAAGAAAGTTATCAAGGATAACTACTTCACAAAGACCAAGTTTGATTGCCAACTGAAGGCAGAGCAGGTATACTAGCCACAAATTTACCAACCTCAAAACATCATCTCTATAACTTGCATTTAGGTCCTTCATGTCCTATAAAATTGTTCCTCAGGTAAAGAAGCTATGCAAACTGTTTGTCATTTCGAGCAAAGGCCATCTCTCACAGAAGCCAGGTGGGTCCCACCGCAGACCTGAACCGGAAGCCCGTCCATTGCCCAAGAAACGGAACAAAAGAGTGGTCAGATTGGATGAGGATCGTCGTCCACCACCCCAATACCGTGAACGGCCCCACAAGCGCCC